ACAGAAATGTTCATAAAGTTTATTTCCTGTATGAGACAAATACAATTAGGCATAAGGCAACGAGACATTAAAGAAAACACAGCATTTTAACCTCAACGGGATTCGAACGACAGTATCTGTCGATGGTTCTCACGTGGACATTAAAACATTGACAACCACTCGTGCAGTCTGGCCATCATGCAGTCGTCCTCCAGCCTGGTTTCTCTGAGTCGTCGTTAGTTTTGGCCTGACGCTAGTATCGATACAAGAAAGTTGGATACAAGGCACAAGGAAACGCAAGTGAATTTTGATTTTCTTGGAAAGCATTCGGGATTTTGTACCATGGACGTTTGTTAAGCTGCGTCTAGGCGATCCATTATATCCATATCTGTGTCACGTTTTGGCCGTTAACATTACATTTTGATACTGGCTAACGTCAAAAACGAGATACATCGAAAATTGCATTGATATTTCAATGGGAAAGTTTCATGAAGTATTTTCATGAAGTGACGTTTCTTTTGCGTTTAAATATGTATGGAAGACGGAAGCAAAGAAAGTCGATTTACGATTCCAACTCTATTTTGAGCATGAATCCCCCCCCTTCACATTGTGATGATACCACGTGGTCGCTGATGGGGAGACGCATCCTGCCCTACTGGTGAAACCCGTTACAAACACATGCAAGGGCAAGTCACTTTTCCGGCTCCCTTCTCATTCACTCTTACACCAGTGTTAATTTCTCCACCAGCTTAAGATGCAGTTCATATATCCTTGAGCTGAACAATGTTAGGAATGCATTCTATATCCTCCGTCATCATTAGAAAGGAACAGAAAACAAGCGGTTTTTTCCCGAGCTTCCCCGTCTAGTGAATCAATAATAAAAAGCTGAAGTGTGAACTTTCTTACTCTAATACATTCACAAGGAATGGCTATCCCGAGAAAAGGTCACTCGAGATGGGAAATAGGCTGTACGTGATAAATGTCCCCCATCACACTAGGGAACCGACTTACTGCAATAGAGTGAGTGAGTGATTGAGGGAGTGGCATTTGGATGGGTGGGTGGAGTGAACGAATGAGTGAGCGAGTTTTACACCGCATATCAGTTGGAGGCCTTAAGTAATGCAAGCCAAGAGAGATGCAGAGATTACACGTTGACACAATGTAGCTATGCCGTATTAATGCGCTGGATGAACTGCAGGATGACTGGAACATCCAGTTGTGGCCCCCTGGTGGACTTTACAGTGACTCATACAGATATACCGTGACGATATTCTGGCTCTACACCACATGAGTGAGTGAGTTTGGTTTAACGCCGCTTTCCAGTTATATCACGACGTGTCAGCTAAATGTGGGAAGAAAGCCCGAAGTTATGCAGGTCTCAGACGTTTACCACTTTGGTGAAACCTGCGAGCACGGGTATGGTGCTGACAAACCTAAAAAACATAATCGGGACGAACCGGGATTCGAACCCACAATCATAGGTTTCTGACGTGCCTAAGGAACGCTGCTCAGCGAATCGCGGCGCTTTAGACGACTGGGCCACACGTGCCATCCCCTCCCACGGGAAGCTGTCATCCATGCCATCCCCTCCCACGGGAAGCTGTCACCCATGCCATCCCCTCCCACGGGAAGCTGTCACCCATGCCATCCCCTCCCACGAGAAGCTGCCACCCATGCCATCCCCTCCCACGGGAAGCTGTCACCCATGCCATCCCCTCCCACGGGAAGCTGTCACCCATGCCATCCCCTCCCACGGGAAGCTGTCACCAATGCCATCCCCTCCCACGAGAAGCTGCCACCCATGCCATCCCCTCCCACGGGAAGCTGTCACCCATGCCATCCCCTCCCACGGGGAGCTGTCTCAGTACTGACATAACTGTAGCACCGACAGTGTACACAAACTGGCCCCAGTTTATCATGCAACCCCACCAGTATGTTCACGAACTGTGCAGGGGTGAGTGAGTGAGTGAGTGAGTGGTTCTCGTGAGTGAAAGAACACACTGTCGCACGTACAGGGGTATACCAGGTCACCAACAACATGCAGTCGTTCGAATCTTATTGAGGTTTTAATATCTGTGTTTTCATCAATGTGTCGTTGCTGTATGCCTGATTATATTTGTCTCATACAGGAAGATGGCAATGATAGTTTATCTGATTAGTACTTAATCCTTTTCCAGTAAATGACGAGCACCTTCCCGGGGCAAGTGACTTAACTGACTACAAAAGTCCAGTTTCCGCCCTTGCCGCCAGTGGCTATTAAGAGTTATGTCCCTTCTATGTCCCTCCTATTGACCAATTTGATTCCACCTATCATATCACTTGCAATTGCTTCATACAAAATGGCGGCACACAGTCAAGACGATCTGATCGATAATCAAGATTTATTTTGTAATAAAAAAGTCCTCACCTCGTGCAGTGCATCACATCACGTGAGCACCTTGATCAAAAACAAGATTTACAAAATATCTGTCGACTCCAAGTTGGCGGTACACATATGCTTTGAAAATCCTGCAGTTGACCTAAATCTGCATGTTGAAATCCATGTTTTTTACGAACCTGATGTCAAGTTCTTCACGCGATTTTGATTGGACTATATATGCATAGACTCGTTAGTCCAGCCAAACTCCGGAATTCCAGCCTAGGACGGCAATGGTGGAAACTGGACTTTTATAGTCAGTCAACGCCCTTGCCCCGGGAAGATGGTGGAGTGAATGTTGAGAATGAGCGCAATACATTTCAAGACACACTCGCGAAGATTCTAAGCTTGACCCAATGAGTTTCTCACGAGCAGGTGAGCAGTTTCTGTGCGACCTGCAGTACCCTTTGTCAGTGAAAGAAAGGGGTGGCTGTGACCCAGCGCTGGTCGGGAATTAGTAGTACTAATCGCTTCTGTGAAATAAGGGATCGAATAAAATCTTTCGCCCATTTTTTCAGGATAACCCGTAAAATTAAAAAATAGAATTTAAATAAATTTTGGAGTAAAGCCTGAGAAGAAATTCATTTTCGGGAGAGAAAAATGTTTCTAAAAAATACACATATCCAGTTCCCGACACTCCTGACAGAGCTCACAGGTGTTCCCACCGGATCAGTGTATGGCCTTGAAATGCTTCATTCTCTGCGGCGACGTTTTATATATTAAAACAAATATACGACCCAGGGGAGCTGTTGTTTATTTTATTGGAAGGAAGGTCATCATATTTCTAAAACAAATTGCTGAATCTGTATCCCGCTTGGCACATGAACAAAATAAATAGGTTGGAGAATATATATATGTAATATTCTTGAAATTTCCAGGGAATATATGTTATGTCTTATACACCTTGGGAATCTACATGATCCGTAACATTTTCAGGGATTATACATATTCCCTGATTTAACAACGAGTATTTTAGACATATTCCCTGATTTAACAACGAGTATTTTAGACATGTTCCCTGAAACAACGCCATTCATGGTTGTCAGAAGAATTATTATCTCTAGTATCAATATAATAATGGTAATGGGTTTATTAAAAAGAAAAAACTTATTGACAAATGATAACATGATATTGAGCATACATCCGTGCCAAACGCAATGCTGTTACTCTTGTAGTAAGACGGAAGTTATCAGAAGGAGACTTATAATGTCTAACCTGCTTACTGTTTACTGTCACTTGTCAGACACTGTGGCACTCAGAATTACACTGCAGCTTAATCTTGAAATATCTACACCCGTTGGTCTGGTATTACTTCGTGCCAACGGGGCGGTCGGGTAACCCAGTGGTTAAAGCGTTCGCTCGTAACGCCGAAGACCCGGGTTCGATTCCCGACATGGGTACTATGTGTGAAGCCCATTTCTGGTGTCAGGTGAAACATTGTCCCCAACAGTTGGATTCCAACTGCACAGTCTGGCGACGTGTAATGTGATTGTCAGCAACAAGATCGTCAGCGTCAAGGAGTCCACACTGTCAGCAACTTCCTACCTTGAATATCGCCACAACCAAACGTACATTCCTCATTTAACATTTGTTATATTGACACTATGAATGAAACATACCAACCAATCAACTCAGTAAACATTAAAGTGTTGAATCAAGTTTGTACTTTTCATTCTAGCGTCGGTATCCCCCGCCGACTTATTGTTGGTATCGTGCTGAAAGCGGCGTAAAACCAGACGATACACGTGAAATCGGTGAAGGTTTTTTTTGGTAGTCCATTTTCAGTTTGTTGTGACCTTTGTATCACCAGAGAAGCCAAATAATGTTATGATACTTAAACAAGAACACCCGACATGCCCCGCGAACAAGAACATCCGGCATGCCCCGTGAACAAGAACACCCAGCATCTCCCGTGAACAAAAACACCTGACATGCCCCGTGAACAAGAACACCCGACATGCCCCGTGAACAAGAACACCCAGCATTTCCCGTGAACAAAAACACCTGACATGCCCCGTGAACAACAACACCCGGCATGTCCCGTGAACAAGAACACCCGACATGCCCCGTGAACAAGAACACCCGACATGCCCCGTGAACAAGAACACCGACATGCCCCGTGAACAAGAACACCCGACATGCCCCGTGAACAAGAACACCCGACATGCCCCGTGAACAAGAACACCCGACATGCCCCGTGAACAAGAACACCCGACATGCCCCGTGAACAAGAACACCCGACATGCCCCGTGAACAAATCATCACACCACACAGACACACTTTTTTTCTTCAAAAAATAATATATCGATCCATCTGAATATATCTCTTGTTTGTATTCACAATTACTTTTCAAAATTCGGGAAGATCTATATATTTTATTTTGAAGAAAAAAGAGATATACTCCTCCATTACACACGCATGAACTGTATGGGGCAGCGGGCAATGATAATAAGTACGTTTCAGAACGCAGATTTCTAATGGATCCCCATGACGCCAAACAATGCATACACGATGATATACAAATTGCGATATCGTGTCAACATCCCCGCACTTCTCCTTTGTAAGCATAAACTTGTGTGTGAACATAGACCGTTTTGAAACTTACCTGTTTAACTGTAGAAATGATAAACCTTATCCGGAGTTCACTTTAGCTCCACGGGACGCCTGGCGACTGCACATAAGAGCATTCTCCACAGGAATGGTATATCTCGTCATTACCAACAGTAACTTTTCACGTAGGCGAAAGTTCTCCAACCCATATGACAGGGGGAAGCCACAGCCACTAGAGTCATACACACCCATGGCTTTAAATCGTCTCGATTATCGATCCATTGTGTGGCTTTTTGAGTGCGCATACACGTTGAAGCATGTGTTTGGGCGAAACGGTAATTATTCAGAAACCTGTTCTGCCCGGTACGATGATGTCAGTTCAATATAAAAGACAGTGAGCGTGATTGTATTTATCAAGGCCCATTTTCTCTCGATCAAAATACATCACCTGACCATGGGTCCTTTAATTGTGCGAAAAATGTATGTTTATATTTATTATATGTATATATGTATTGCTTCAAATATGGATAGGGGTGGTCGGGTAGCCTAGTGGTTAAAGCGTTCGCTCGTCACGCCGAAGACCGGGGTTCGATTCCCCCGAGGGTATAATGTGTGAAGCCCATTGCCGATGTACCCCGCCGTGATATTGTTGGAATATTGCTGAAAGCATCGTAAAACCACACCCACTCACTCACTCAAAAATAGACAGCATTGACGATGAAGACATTTGTTCAAATGCAAAACAATAATAATGTATTGTGATGTGGGGTTTAAAAAGAACTTGAAGAGAGTGATGGAGTGATTCAGTGTACATGAGATGATGATATGCAGGTGACCGTGAACTTGAATGTATCCATGATGTGTGATACCTGTGTCAGGGGCTTGTCAGGTAGGTGAGGTCAAATGGGGTTTAACGTAACGTCCAAGATTATTGCACTTACATAGAGACGTTGATGCACGTTGATGCACGTGTGTGTGTGTGTGTGTGTGTGTGTGTGTGTGTGTGTGTGTGTGGCTGCTTGTACTAAAGTACTGTCGGAAATGTTCGAAAAATGCTTTTCTGGATTCATTTACTAAATACGAGTCATGGAACTATAAAAGGAGCATATATCAAAATAACGCAAATTGACTAACTGACACTGGGATTACCCTGAGATTTACTGTTACAGGTACAATCATGATAAACTTGGATGGCCATAAATCGTCCTGCTGGGACATGTTGAAGTGGATGGCCATAGCTCGTCCTGCTGGGACATGTTGAAATGCTAGCCATAGCTCGTTCTCCTGGGACATGTTGAAGTGGTAGCCATAGCTCGTCCTGCTGGGGCATGTTGAAGTGGATGGCCATAGCTAGTTCTCCTAGGGCATGTTGAAGTGGTAGCCATAGCTCGGCCTGCTGGGAGATGATGAAGTGGTAGCCATAGCTCGTCATGCTGGCGGGCATGTTGAAATGCTAGCCATAGCTCGTCCTGCTGGGACATGTTGAAGTGGTAGCCATAGCTCGGCCTGCTGGGACATGTTGAAGCGGATGGCCATAGCTCGTCCTCCTGGGGGGCATGTTAAAGTGGATGGCTATAGCTCGTCCTGCTGGGACATGTTGAAGTGGATGGCCATATCTCGTCGTGGTGGGACATGTTGAAGTGGATGGCCATAGCTCGTCCTGCTGGGACATGTTGAAGTACATGTCCATAGCTCGTCCTGCTGGGACATGTTGAAGTACATGTCCATAGCTCGTCCTGCTGGGACATGTTGAAGTGGATGGCCATAGCTCGTCCTGCTGGGACATGTTGAAGTACATGTCCATAGCTCGTCCTGCTGGGACATGTTGAAGTACATGTCCATAGCTCGTCCTGCTGGAACATGTTGAAGTGGATGGCCATAACTCGTCGTGCTGGGGGCATGTTGAAATGCTAGCCATAGCTCGTCCTGCTGGGACATGTTGAAGTACATGTCCATAGCTCGTCCTGCTGGGACATGTTGAAGTGGATGGCCATAGCTCGTCCTGCTGGGACATGTTGAAGTACATGTCCATAGCTCGTCCTGCTGGGACATGTTGAAGTACATGTCCATAGCTCGTCCTGCTGGAACATGTTGAAGTGGATGGCCATAACTCGTCGTGCTGGGGGCATGTTGAAATGCTAGCCATAGCTCGTCCTGCTGGGACATGTTGAATTGGTAGCCATAGCTCGTCCTGCTGGGACATGTTGAAGCGGATGGCCATAACTCGTCGTGCTGAAACATGTTGAAGTGGATGGCCATAGCTCGTCGTGCTGGGGGCATGTTGAAATGCTAGCCATAGCTCGTCCTGCTTGGGCATGTTAAATTGGATAGCCATATCTCGTCCTGCTGGGACATGTTGAAGTGGATGGCAATATCTCGTCCTGCTGAGGGCATGTTGAAGTGGTACCCATAGCTCGTCCTGCTGTGACATGTTGAAGTGCATGTCCATAGCTCGTCCTGCTGAAACATGTTGAAGTGGATGGCCATAGCTCATCCTGCTTGGGAGTGTTGAATTGGATAGCCATATCTCGTCGTGGTGGGACATGTTGAAGTGGATGGCAATAGCTCGTCCTGCTTGGGCATGTTGAAGTGGTACCCATAGCTCGTCCTGCTGGGGGCATGTTGAAATGCTAGCCATAGCTCGTCCTGCTTGGGCATGTTGAAGTGGATGGCTATAGCTCGTCCTGCTGTGACTTGTTGAAGCGGATGGCCATAGCTCGTCCTGCTGGGAGGCATGTTGAAGTGGATGGCCATAGCTCGTCGTGCTGAAACATGTTGAAGTGGATGGCCATAGCTCGTCGTGCTTGGGGCATGTTGAAATGCTAGCCATAGTTCGTCCTGCTTGGGCATGTTGAATTGGATAGCCATATCTCGTCGTGGTGGGACATGTTGAAGTGGATGGCAATATCTCGTCCTGCTGAGGGCATGTTGAAGTGGTACCCATAGCTCGTCCTGCTGTGACATGTTGAAGTGGTACCCATAGCTCGTCCTGCTGTGACATGTTGAAGTGCATGTCCATAGCTCGTCCTGCTGAAACATGTTGAAGTGGATGGCCATAACTCGTCGTGCTGGGGGCATGTTGAAATGCTAGCCATAGCTCGTCCTGCTTGGGCATGTTGAACTGGATAGCCATATCTCGTCGTGGTGGGACATGTTGAAGTGGATGGCAATAGCTTGTCCTGCTGAGGGCATGTTGAAGTGGATGGCCATAGCTCGTCCTGCTGTGACATGTTGAAGTGGTAGCCATAGCTCGTCCTGCTCGGGGGCACGTTGAAGTGGATGGCCATAGCTCGTCCTCCTGGGACATGATGAAGTGGTAGCCATAGATTGGCCTGCTGGGGTCATATTGAAGTGGATGGCTATAGCTCGTCCTGCTGGGGCAGGTTGAAGTGGATAGCCATAGATCATCTTAATAGGGGGCTTATTGAAGTGGATGGCCATAGATCATCCTCCTCGGACATGTTGAAGTGGTAGCCATAGCTCGTCCTGCTTAGGCATGTTGAAGTGGATGGCTATAGCTCGTCCTGCTGTGACATGTTGAAGTGGTAGCCATAGCTCGTCCTGCTGGGGGCATGTTGAAGTGGATAGCCATAGCTTGTCCTGCTTAGGCATGTTGAAGTGGATGGCTGTAGCTCGTCCTGCTGAAACATGTTGAAGTAGATAACCATAGCTCGTCCTGCTGGGGGCATGTTGAAGTGGATAGCCATAGCTTGTCCTGCTTAGGCATGTTGAAGTGGATGGCTGTAGCTCGTCCTGCTGAAACATGTTGAAGTAGATAACCATAGCTCGTCCTGCTGGGACATGTTGAAGTGGATGGCCATAGCTCGTCCTGCTGTGACATGTTGAAGTGGTAGCCATAGCTCGTCCTGCTGGGGGAGGGACGTTGAAGTGGATTGCCATAGCTCGGCCTGCTGGAGGGGCATGTTGAAGTGGATGGCCATAGATCATCCTGCTGGGACATGCTGAATTGGTAGCCATAGCTCGTCCTGCTGGGCGGCATGTTGAAGTGGATTGCCATAGCTCGTCGTGCTGGAACACGTTGAAGTGGATGGCCATAACTCGTCCTTCTGGGGGACAGGTTGAAATGGTAGCCACAGCTCGTCCTGCTGGGGGGCATGTTGAAGTGGATGGCCATGTGCTCGTCCTGCTGGGGGACAGGTTGAAGTGGTAGCCACAGCTCGTCCTGCTGGGGGGATTGTTGAAGTGGATGGCTATAGCTCGTCCTGCTGGGACATGTTGAAGTGGATGGCCATAGCTCGTCCTGCTGTGACCTGTTGAAGTGGTAGCCATAGCTCGTCCTGCTGGGGGGCATGTTGAAGTGGATGGCCATAGATCATCCTGCTGGGACATGCTGAATTGGTAGCCATAGCTCGTCCTGCTGGGCGGCATGTTGAAGTGGATGGCCATAGCTCGTCGTGCTGGAACATGTTGAAGTGGATGGCCATAACTCGTCCTTCTGGGGGGTGGGCATGTGGTATTTTAAAGCTCTGGTGTGTTCAGCTTAAGTAACCATCGCTCGGAATTCTTGAAGCTAGGCACTTATGAGTATGATCGTGATGCAGCTGACTCCATGACACCTGTTACAACAATTGAATGTTGTATCCATAAATAATTAACTGTCATTTTGTATGAAAGCTGGATAAACCTTGATAAACCTGGATAAAGCACACCCAAGGTGTGCTAGATGTGTTAGATGTGACATGTCGATTCCATTTCATGTCCAATCTGAGAAGTCTGGCTTGCAATAACCTGATGCAACTATATCTGAATTCGGGCCCAAAACAAAACATTTTGACTTTATTTTAGCTAGATATTTTTTCAAGTTTGCAACTGTTGAGGTGCTGGGACTACTGATACATATATGCATGCAGTTGGTCCGTCTGTTAAAACCGACAGGACAATTTGCTATTGGCATACGATGACATGTATTAAAAAAAGTCAGTGAGCCTGACCAACCGACTCCGTTAGTCGCCTGTTACGACAAGCATTGTGTGTCCGCTTGTACTAGTCCAGACTAATGCCGATTGCATAGGGCCCACTGAGGTACCATTCCGCAGTTTTACATGAATACCCCACTCAGACACAGTATACTGACTCCGAGCCGACCAGTCCTTGTTTTAGCCGAGCGTCAGGTATGTTAATAACGATACCATGTTTTAACGTCTTCTGGTGTGACGTGGCCGGGGATCGAACCCCCGAGCTTCCGCGGACGGAAGCTCTACCACTAGACCATGGAGA